GGGGGGGGGCCGGCTTCTTGGGGGGCGGGGAGAGGGCCGAGCCCCGGGGCAGTCTGCCGCAGGGTCGGAGGGCTGGCTGCCTGTTGTGTAAGCCTTCGTGTTGTTTTCCCGGCCTGGCTCGTTGTGAAGCCGGACACATCCACCCTTGGCCTCGATTCAGAAGGCTGCTGCTTTTTTCCTCGCCCCTCTTGGATTTTCTGGATTTTTGAAAACCCAGTGGCCCAGGAGGAGGAGGAGGAGGAAGAGGCAGATCTGCGGAGGAATGTGAGCGCCTCCCTAAGCCGGAGCAGCCTGGAGCTGGGAGCCAGTGGGACGGGGACAGCGGTTTTGGAGCGATTCCTCCTATTTTAGAACACTGTTCCAGGATCGGGTTCTGCCCTGGCGGGCTGGTTTCTCTGGGTCCCTTGATTTTTCTTCTAGGAGTGGAGGAGGAAGAGACCCCCCTGGGGTGCCAGGGGAGGGAGGGTTGTGGAGGGTGCCCTTCCTGCTCAGAGGCATATGCCCTGAGACCTGATAGGGCAGTTCCTGGGCCATGGACATTGCTTTGAAGAGTTGGAGGCTGGACAGCGTCTGTGGACCCCGAGACCCCGGTGGAGTGAGGATTGAGCTGCTGGTGCCTTCTCAGACACCTCGGTGAGTGTCCCAGCTGTGGGCAGGACCCTCTGCTCTCCTAGGTCCCTGCAAGCCCCCAGCCATGGCCCTGAAAGGCCGAGCCCTCTATGACTTCCGCAGTGAGAACGAGGAGGAGATCAGCATCCACCAGGACGAGGACCTGGTGGTCTTCAGCGAGACCTCCCTGGACGGGTGGCTGCAGGGCCAGAACAGCCGCGGGGAGACGGGGCTCTTTCCCGCCTCTTACGTGGAGATCCTCCGTTCTGGCGCCAACCACGTGGACTACACCAGCAGCTCCGCAGACTCCCCAAGCGCCCAGGTGACCTGTTACGACAGCTGCAGTGTGGCCAGCCCTGCCAGGAGTGGTGGGGTCAGTGGCTTCCTCTCCAACCAGGGCAGCTTCGAGGATGACGACGAGGATGACTGGGACGACTGGGATGATGGCTGCACCGTGGTGGAGGAGCCACGGGCTGGTGGGCTGGGCACCAACGGGCACCCCCCACTCAACCTCTCCTACCCTGGGGCCTACCCCAGCCAGCACATGGCCTTCCGGCCCAAGCCGCCCCTGGAGCGGCAGGACAGCCTGGCTTCTGCCAAGCGAGGCAGCGTGGTCGGGCGCAATCTCAACCGCTTCTCGTGCTTCGTGCGCTCCGGAGTGGAGGCCTTCATCCTGGGCGACGTGCCCATGATGGCCAAGATTGCCGAGACCTACTCCATCGAGATGGGCCCTCGCGGCCCCCAGTGGAAAGCCAACCCACACCCGTTCGCCTGCTCCGTGGAGGACCCCACCAAACAGACCAAGTTCAAGGGCATCAAAAGCTACATCTCCTACAAGCTCACACCCACCCACGCCGGCTCCCCGGTCTACCGGCGCTACAAGCACTTCGACTGGCTGTATAACCGCCTGCTGCACAAGTTCACCGTCATCTCGGTGCCCCACCTGCCGGAGAAGCAGGCCACGGGCCGCTTCGAGGAGGACTTCATTGAGAAGCGGAAGCGGCGGCTGGTGCTCTGGATGGACCACATGACCAGCCACCCCGTGCTGTCCCAGTACGAGGGCTTCCAGCATTTCCTCAGCTGTCTGGATGACAAGCAGTGGAAGATGGGCAAACGCCGGGCGGAGAAGGACGAGATGGTGGGTGCCAGCTTCCTGCTCACCTTCCAGATCCCCACGGAGCACCAGGACCTGCAGGACGTGGAGGACCGTGTGGACACCTTCAAGGCCTTCAGCAAGAAGATGGACGACAGCGTCCTGCAGCTCAGCACGGTGGCGTCGGAGTTGGTGCGGAAGCACGTGGGAGGCTTCCGCAAGGAGTTCCAGAAGCTGGGCAGTGCCTTCCAGGCCATCAGCCAGGCCTTCCAGATGGACCCTCCCTTCAGCTCCGAGCCCCTCAACAGTGCCATCTCTCACACGGGCCGGACCTACGAAGCCGTCGGGGAGATGTTCGCCGAACAGCCCAAGAATGACCTCTTCCGGGTGCTCGACACGCTGTCCCTCTACCAGGGCCTGCTCTCCAACTTCCCCGACATCATCCACCTACAGAAAGGTAGGCCTGGGCCGGCAGGAAACCCTTCCTGTCCGCCCTCTGCTGGGTCCTGGGGACACGGACGGCTTAGACTGAACAAGGAACAGCTCCTGGTCTTTCCGCTCAGTCCCATCCGTTCAGCAG